TGTTACCTTCCCACCGAAGTGGTACCTATTTATCTACTTGCAATTTCTTGCTTTCGAACTGCTAGGTTGGCAGGAGCTGGAACTAGAGACGGGAGCTCACTCCGTCTTGCGGCACCCGGGTCTTGAACTGCTGAACTACTGACCTTCCACAGCCTGCAGTTCAGCGTCTTAACCACTTGAGCCACCGCAGCTCCTTTTGGATAACGACTCCCAAAAAGGATTAATATTCAGAATCCATAAAATATTGCTTCTTAATACATCAGCAAAACTTCCTTCATACACAAAAGCTTGGCAAACAGATTGCAAAACTGATTTTTCAGAAGCTTAATGGAAACGCATCTGGCACTCCCCTATGTTTACTTCAAATTCATTGAATTTCTTTTTCATTCGTTTGTTAGTGGCACGATGGTATACAACCCCCACAAAACTTCACCGTATAACTCCTACTAACTCACCACTGTGCTGAAAGGCCTGTAGTGAAGCTGCCTCATATATTCATAGTTGGTGGACTTACAGAAAAATCCAGATTTTTTGGAAATTAGTATTATCACACATAAACACCTTTAACTGGCTGCACACTACTAGAGAGTCCCCAACTAGTCCCACTAAACCTTTGGCAGGAGTTAAACATTCCCAAGATATGATGTGAGCTCATTTCGACACTAATACTGGCCACAAAGAATGTTATAGCCACAAATTGGAAGATGCCAAACTCCCCTTCAATAGAAGCCTGGTATTCTAAAATCTGGGATTATGCCATTATGGACAAAATAATAGAAGACATTAGGAGATCAGAAAACCCCTTGGCTACTTCAAATTACCTCGAGAAATGGTATCCTTTTTAAAGAAAAATGTTGTTTTGATCAAGAGAACCCGAATTCTTTTGAAAATAACAGAAATAGTAAATTTATAGCCCTGTTGTAATAAAAGAGATAATGTTACAGAAAACTATTGACAAAACTCAATGTTATGCAGTGAAAGTTGGTTGTTTATTTTTTATCTACTATTATTGTATTATTGTATTTGTTGAAATGATTAATAAAAAACTTTTTAAAAAATGGGAGTACAATCAGCATTGATGTTAGAACTATTATCTTGGTCCGTTCATTGTTTGTATGATATTTTTTAAAGCTGGTCAAATAGAACAGCTTTTCAAAAAATATACAGGAGCAGAAATCTTATTCTATACCTTGTTATTCCTAAGAAAATCCATCCTTAGCATAATTTTCATGAGATACTAAAACCACAAGATGATTTTGGTGGTGGCTGTTGTCTGTCTTATGGTGACTCAGATCTCTGTTCAGGTGACTTTGTTTGATAAGTAGTATACTTTTAAAGATAAAATTGTTTTGGTGGGTGATATGACAATTATACTCCCAAAACTAGAAGTGGAAAGGAAACAGCTTTTATCTTAGAAAAAGGAAATGTGGCCAAACGGTTTCAACTGTAACAGCCAGCAGTTTCCTTTCTCCAGAGTGTGGCCCTTCATTTACCCCCTTAAAAGAGGAAATTGCACTAGTATGATTTAAAGGGATGTTTTGGTGAAGAAAAATGTCAAACTAGGGAGCCAGAGGGGGTGGTGTATGTGCTTGCTACAGTCGGTAACAAAAAATTAAGCTATTAACTGTGCAGTAAACCATGGGCACAAGGAAATCATAGCAGAGTGCAAGCTTTGCTGCAAGATTCAAAAATTCATTCTGCATATTAGTAGATTCATCATAGAAGCATGATTTGGATGATGTTTCTCAGTTAATTGGGGGGTGGTTATTGGTAAATGTATGTGTCTTTTAGTCATAGCATCCTTTTATCTTTCAAAAAGTTTCCCTGTGGGAAAAGTTATACTGAGTGTGCGTCTGGGCCAACACTTCTGTTTCAGCCTATGAAACCACAAGTAATTGCAACTTGTTTTTCCAACTGTTAGGAGGCAGTATGACACAAAACAATGGCTTTACATTGTATTGCTTTGAGTAGAAGCATCTGTTTTAGACTGCAGAATTTTCCTCTAAGTGTAAAATCTAGTTTATTGGATATATTATGCTATTTTATTTAATTGTCCTTTAATTGTATAATTCATTTTTATTGCATTGTATGTGCTACACTGGTCTTTATTGTATTGTTTTATAATCCTGTAATCAAACCTTGAGTCTCAACTAGGGCTTTTCTGCATGCTCAATTAACGCCTGATTTTCTTGGCAGTCAGTTCACAAGCATTGAAATTGCTTTGGGCAGGGTTCTGCATGTCTGCTCTCCCTCTGCATTTTCACAATTGTGGAGTCCATTTATATTCTTCCGCATGTTCCTTAAAGAATCAGGATTTTAAAGGAAGGGTGCTGGCGTCGTCAGTGACATCATTGGTGGAGTCACAGCACCACCACCCTTTTAATTTGTTTTGCATGCTTATATTGATACACCATTGTAATGATAGGTTAAGCAGGTTCTATGAATTCCCAGCTTTCTTTCTTTTTTAAAAAGAAAGCAAGTCCTAGCTTCTTTCCTTGTGGAGATAGGCTTTTTCCTTCTATCTCTGCGAGGGAAAGTGGTAGAGGCTTGTTTTTTAAAAAAAATCACAACAACATATTGATATTTTACTGCCTTTTTAAACATTCAAAAACTAAACCACTCATCTTTTGGGTGGGAGAAGAGAAGAATAGTTTGACAATGACAACAGCCCAATCATCAAAAGTGTGCTGGAGGTGGGTGGAAGTGGGTGGGACAAAGAAAAAGGCTACTTAAGGTTGACTTCCATAAAAAGAGCAAAGTAAATGGGGTCTCAAAAGAACTGGAAAAACACCTGGGGGAAAACAAAAAAAGAAGAAGCAAAAACTAAGGGCACAGAAGTACATGTGGAAATTGAGGGATGAACTGAAGCAGTATGGCGCCAGAACCCATGAAAAAACCCCATGTGGGAATGCCCTTGGAAAGGATGATGATAGATGAAATAAATAATTTTAAAGGTTTGCTTCAACACCCTTAATTAAGACTTGCTCCATAAGCCTTCAGAGGAATGGCTTTAACCATGTAGAGCCTACATCTGGATGTTCCTCTTCTTACCTGGCACTTGTGTGCAGAAGTAATGTTTTTCTTTAGATCCCGAAGATGTAGGCCTAATCCACCTGATTGTTGCCTCCCAAACTTGAGAGATGGTCATATCATAGTGAAGCCTGTGTGTTGTGCACTCCATATAATTGTCTCCTATTTGTATATGACTGCAGTGTGCAAATTTCATTTGTGACAGTCATAGCCAAAGGACCATAGTTGTCTATTGAGCAGGTTTTACTGTATGTCTGTTTGCCTTCATAGAATTTAGGTTTCAGTCCTGAAGAGCCCTGTAGCCGGGATTTGGGGGGGGGCACCAGGGTGCTGGGGGGGTTGCTAATTAAATTACATTTAAATTAAATTAAAGGAGCAGGGAGGGAGAGGAGGAGTAGCTCCTTACCCCAGCTGGCTTTGGGTCGGTGCAGCAAGCCCTTCCTTCCCTCCCTCCACTGCTCCAGGCGCGTAGCTACAGTGGGGCATCTTGGGGCTGGGCTGCCTGACTTACCACCCAGGCCTCCTGACTTCCCATCCAGCCAGTTTATTTTATTTTATTTTTTGTGCATGCCAAGCCATTGCCCTGCCCTACCTGCCAACACCCTCACTTCTTGCCCCTCTCATTGTTTTTTCAAAACTTTTACTCTCTCATCACTCCTGACACAGCCTGGAGTGTGTGGGGGGTGTCCCCGACTTATTTAAATGCCACCTAAAGTTAAAAAAAATCCTGGCAATGGTCCTGCACTGCTCTTGCATGGACCCTTTCCAGCTCACTACTGGTAGGGGTGAGGAGAAGTGCGGAAGGTAGGGCAAGGCAGTGCCTCAGTATGGAGCTCTGCCTCCAGGATGCTGGGCTGCTTTGGAGGAAGAGGGAAGACTCCCTCCCCCCACGCCAATCCGAGCGGGTGGCCCTTTGCAAGGGAAGCAGGCAAAGTCCCCTGCAGAAGTGCAAAAGATAATGTGCACTCCCCCCCCATAAGGAGCTTTTGCAGAAAGGGGGAGGGAAAAGACAAGCGTCTTGCAGCTTCTCTGGCTGTACAAGAAGGGAAAAAGGGGAAGATGGGGGGGTGTTGAAGGTTCGATAGGGGATGCTGCCTGCAGCGTCTCTCCCCCCCCCCCCCCCCCGGGCCTGGTCCTGGAGAGGTTTATTTGAGGAAAACACGGAAAACGCTTTTTTGATTATTTTAGAACCTCCATTTTGCAAGGCACTGTACCTCCACATACTAAATTGATGTTAGCAAGCAAAAGATAGCCAATTCCTTCAAGCCTTGAGAGCTCACAGCGGCATCTAGCTGCTGCTCTTGAAATCCAACACTGAGCTGCAAATTTTTGACACCCCCCCCCCCCCAGCAGCTAACCCCAGGTTTTGAAATTCTCCTTTTTCCTGGGGAAAAAGGGCTGCTGCTGAAAGGAAAGAAAACTTACAAAACTAAGGCCTCACTGAACTCATCAAATGAGATTGATGGTTCTTGGGGTGTAGCCAGAATTCTACACTGGCAGGGCCTTTGTCTCATCCACCGAGGCAATTCTTGAGTTAGCTGTTCCTCTCTTTGGGATGAAACCCGGTGGGAAATAGTGGTGTCACTCTGACAGTTCTTCAGCTATACGCAGCCAAAAGTGCGAACCATTTTTACAAGACTTTTCTGAGAATATCATTTACTGTGCCAAGCCTCATTGCAGGAATAAGTTGTTTCATTAGAGTAGTCATGTGATTTGAAGACTTTGGAAGAATGTAGTGCTTGATAAGGTAGCTTTCTGTTCACCTAATGAATGAACGTTTATCTCATGATTCTTGTTGATTAGTTCCTTTACATTAAGTATAGTAAGCAAAATTTGTATGCACACCTGTTGAAGAAATGTTAGTGATTTATCAGCTCCTTATTTACACAATGGAAACAGCTCTATAAATCTCTGTATGAATTTGTGTATACATAGACTGCATCATCAGTATATGTCTTTTAATTTTTCAGGTCTACTTAAAAGCACCTATGATTCTTAATGGTGTTTGTGTTATTTGGAAAGGCTGGATAGATCTCCAAAGACTGGATGGCATGGGCTGCCTAGAGTTTGACGAAGAGCGGGCACAGGTATGGCAAGCCTCTCAAATGTACACTTAAAACTGTAGTGGTGGTGTGCTTCTTCTCAGTAAGTTCAGAAAGGAAAAATCATACCATCCTTTCAGAGAGATGTGAAGAAAGATGGTATAGAATGAAAAAAAAATTCCCTGGGATGAGCAGGTTGGGCAGAAAGATGCTAATCATTTATGGTCAGAGGTTCTATACCATAACCTTCTGAGTAGTTCTTTTTCTTAGTAAGTGCTGGATTCTTCCCTTCTTTTGTTTATGGCTTTGTGATTCCTTGTTTTTAACATGCAGTTGTCATTTTTAAACATTCACACATGATCTAACATGGAAAATAATTTCAACTGTGATGATCACAATTTTTGAGCAGACCATGAACCAAACAGGCAAGACATTCCTGGTCCCTCTTCGTTACTCCATCTTTTTCCTATACTACTTGGCTCAGCTCCTGTGACTCTTCCTCCTCCACAGGTAGCTCTGAATTTCTAACATGCTTTTGTTTTAGTACTGTTACCTTTTTATCCCCCTTTCCCTGTTTTCAGCCCATAGAATAGCAGAGCCTCAAACAATGGCTAGGTGTGAGGCTTACAGATGATAGCCAGAGTTTAACCTTTTGCTGACATGACATTGCTGTAGTTTGATTTTCTTGACTTAAAAATATTGTTTGCAATATTAAAACATCCATTTTTATTTAACCCCACCTAATGAATCACCTTTGTAGTTCTGAAATCTTAAGTTATTCTTTAATGAAAATGGTAAAATAACTCTTATCTAAAGAATGATCCTGCTAATGCACATACTGTCTTCTTCATTGCCAAAGATCAACTCCCTCCTTTTATTTTTCATATAAGAAATAATTTGTTATGCTGTACTACCATAAAAATTACCATAGAGGGACTGATATACCACATAAAAGTAGAATTTAATGACAAATATGCACATTGCCCTTTAGTGTACATTCCTGGGGATTTAGCTGATGTTTATTGATTGACAGATGTTTGTATTAAGCTAAGCAAAGCCACAGGGGGCACTTTTTCACATCGTTTCACAAAATAGCTTTAGGATATAGGATAGTGCCTTAGGCAAAAAAGGCAATTTGACATTCTCTCACTACTGACTTTTTTAACTTTAAATTTAAATTTTAATGTGTTTTAGTCCCTTGGTATATTAAAATGTAGCTGGATTCTCTGGAGCAGGATATTTTTAGTTAGGTTTAGACTTTGCTGTTGAAGGGATACCCTTCTTTTTAAGAATAGCACTGTGTACCTTGATGATTTTAGCTTAAAAGTGTGATTAGCATAAAACTATAAAATGTGAGTGAATGAAGATGAAAGGTATATGTATGCAAAAGAGCATAATTCTGTATGGGGCAAGATTTGCTTTTCATAGTACTTTATCATATATTGTCAGACATGCAGGTTCCCAATATTGGCCAGTCACCTTCTTATTGAGTACAAAGACTTAAAGTAAAAATGATCAACCCAATAAGTTTTTGAAAACAGTTTTACTGAAATGGAATATTAAAGAAGCAATCCTAACCGGGTATACTCAGAAGTAAGTCCTGTGTTGTTCAGTGGGGCTTGGTACCATGAGTGTCCTTAGGATTGCAACGTTAAAAGTGCAGTTATAGTAGAGTTCTCCAGTTGAAGCACATTGATACCAGTGAATTTAGACTGGACTAACTCTGCATAATATTGTCTTTTTCTATTATAAAATGTTGGGAATATACTCACATTTTTAACAGTGCTAAGCACTGGAAGCTTGTTGTGACCTCTGAATGAGGCCAATATTTGCATAACCTGCTCTGTTCACACTTTTTATTTTACATGGCATTTTATTTTTAATGAAAATAATGTTACTCCCTTTTTGTATGTGCTTCCTTGTGATGTCCTTTGGCTAGTCAATGACCGTTTGGAAGCTGAGAGTATACTGCCATAACTTATCAATACTTATCAGTATTTATTGACATCTATGTTTACTGGCACTTATATGATTTTATAAGTTGTGATTTTACCTATTTAAATATCGTGTTTTAACTACTCCTGTGTGTGTGTGTGTGTGTGTGTGTGTACTGTGAGCTGCCCTGACCTTGCCAAGGTGGGGAGGGTGGGATATAAATTAAATAAATAAGTTGATGTGTTTTAGAGCATAATTTATATAAAGCATGATAATCCAGTTCCTTTGCATATGCAGCTATTATTGCCCATAAATATTGTCCCCTTCATCCTTGGTATGCACACAGGCAATGTTCAAGGTCATTGTGGGGCTAAAAGAACTTGTGAATGCTTGCCATATGCCCAGTTATTCCTCCTTCTCTGTCTGGTGGAAGTCAACTACTGTTCCTCATTGTGCATATTACATGTGCATGCTGACAGGAGCAAGCAGTGGATTGCTCTACCAGGGCCCAAGGGAATCCACATGTAGATGCTGCCCATAGAAGGGCATCATATGCCTATTGTACAATAGCTAATTTTGCAAAATAATTTTTAAATATACAGAAGAATCTCTTAGTGATGGTGGTTCTTCATTATTCATCTGCCAACTGATGGCCAGAGTCAAGCAGCTGTGATTTGATTCAAAAGAGGATCGACTGAATCTGTGTATCTTCTATGAAAGCCAGTTTGGTGTAGTGGTTCAGTGCATGGACTCTAATCTGGGAGAACTGGGTTTAATTCCCTACTTCTTCACTTAACAGCTGCTGGATGACCTTGGGCAAGCCATAATTCTGTCAGACCTGTTCTCTCAAGGACAGTTCTGAAAAGAGCTCTCTCAGCCCCACCTACTTCACAGGTTGTCTGTTGTGGGGAGGGGAAGAGAAAGGAGTTTGTAAGCAGCTCTGAGACTCCAAGTGAAAGGCAGGGTATAAATCCAGTTTCCTCCTCCTCCTCCCTGTAGCAGGAGGATGCACTGGCACAGCAGGCGTTTGAAGAAGCTCGGCGAAGAACTCGTGAGTTTGAGGACAGAGATCGGTCTCATCGGGAAGAAATGGAGGTGAGAGTTTCACAGCTGCTGTCAGTTACTGGTTAGTACTCTACCAAAACCTTCAATCACTTCTCTATTGAGAGCATGATGCTAAAGTCTTATGTCTTGTGTGGATGTTGCAGTTTAGCAAGTCCCATTTGGATTGAGTATTAGTACAGTATGGCTCTTTTTCTTCAAAGCAAGGTTTCAGCTCAAAAATAGCGAGTTGTTTAGGAATGAGACCGTCTAGTTAACTTGTTGAAATTTAAGCTGATTTAATCTACCATTTTTTAGTCCAGTGGCACCTTTAAGACCAACAAAGTTTTATTCAAGGTACAAGCTTTCGTGTGTATGTACACTTCTTCTGACACAATGAAATGGAAATTACCGGTCGATACATATAGCTAGATTGCCCATCAGTCTCCAATTTTGGCATATTTATTTCCTTCACTATGTTTTCCTGTGGAATTAAATTTTTAAAAAATGGTAACCATATAAACTAAGCTTGTTATTCCTGTTCGGTCCTTGAATCTGTTAAACATTTTCATTATGCTGTATGCTAATTTACTGCTCTCACCCTCTACCTATATGTATGGACTAGTAATTTCATTGTATCTGAAGAAGTGTGCCTGCACACAAAAATTTATACCTTAAATAAAACTTTGTTGGTCTTAAAGATACCACTGAACTCAGACTTTGTTCTACTGCTTCAGACCTACATGGCTACCCACCTGAATTAATCTACCATTGTTACTAGGGGTGGGCATGAACCAGGAAATTCTGGTTCCAGGTGTGCCCAAACCGCACTTCAAACTGGCTGCTTAAGGCCACCTTTCTTCCAACTGTGGTAAGATCGTCCGGGGAAGCAAGAGGGATCACTGAAATGGCTTGCATCTATTTCAGGCTAATAGTGGGGCTAGTGTGCCAATCAGCTGTTAGGTTGAAATAGATACAAGCTATTTCCATGATCCCTTTTGCTTGGAAGGGGCGGGGGGGGGGCAAAACAGAGGGGTGGTTAATAAACCTAACAGCTGGGCTGGTCCCCCTGTAAGCTGTTAGAGTTAAATGGCTCTGAGCCATTAACCACCCCTCATTTCACTCCCCCTGCTTCTCATCACAAGCCTCTGAAAAACCACTTTTTTGGGGGGGTCACATGAACCTTGGTTTACGAACCATGACTGAGATGATTTTACCACCAAATTTAGGGATGTAGGCATGTTCATGCCTATCCTTAATTGTTATTTTCACTCCTCTCAATGAGAATTCAGATAGGAATTTTCCCATTCATGTGTGTGCACCAAACTAATAACTGGGTTGGATCCAGCTAGGTTTTCCACTCAATCTCACCCGATTCTTTTCCTTACCTGCCCCCACATGGCTTCTATCTATGCAGATCCAGTGGTCTTCAGCATCGCCTTTAGGAGTGGTCAACCTCTCTTTCACTAGCAGAAAAACTGGTTAGACCCACTCCACAGTGCAACAGATATTTGTATTGTGCTATGAATGTTACTTAGTCACTTAAATTAAAAAATTAATTATTGCTAGATGATGCATGATTGGATCCAGTGACAACTTCCTGCTAAATCCTTTCTTCATTTCATATTTATTTATTTTGTACCACACTTTTTTCCCCAGTGGGGACTTAAAATACTTCACCAAAGAGAATTTAAATAAGAAACCAGGAAAAACAAGCAAAGAATAATAAAGACTACAATATATTTCCATAGACTGCTTCCTGGTCTGATCCTAGAGCTGCAGAGTAGCTCAAAGAGCAACCTCTTTCTGGTATCTATGAAAGCAAATTTTTTGGACTGCAGGGGCAGCAATAATGTTATTGAAGCACGTGGATAATAGCATTATACAAGGAAAAAAACAAAGATTTTTGTAGCTATTTCTGTGGAATTATGCATGGTAATAATATTCTTTTTGTAAGATAGGGTTGTGTACTGTTTAAATCTAGGTAAAATGTATTCATTAAATGTGCAAAGACAATGTCTCATTGATTCCCAAAGTAGTCTGGAATGTAGACATAATCTTGAATAATCAACAGTAATAAATTATGTTCTATTTTTAAAACTTTTGCTGTGTTGAAAAGTAATTCTGATTGTGGAATTTGTGAAAAGAGAGCCCTTGCTGAAGTTCAGTTGTGTTTTAACAGAGAAGGAATATAAAAACATGTCTTGTAAATATTCACATTTTCTTTTCATAATAGAATGGCTTTTTAAATCCCAACCAAAAGTCTTGTGCTTTCCGTTTATAAAGTTCTTGCGTACATATTTAAGGCTGGGAGGTTGAAAGTCCTGTTGTTAGAAATTATACCCTGGGTTGATGCAAAGTCTGCATATTTTTTTAAAAATCATGCTAAATGGCTTTAATAGATACCACATTTGAACAATAAAAGAGGAAGAAACCCTTGCAGTACTTGGTCCGCTCCATCCAAAAGAAAGGCGCCAGCTCTTTGGAAACATTCAGCAAACCTTGGCAGCATATAAAAATGACCACAGATTTTACTCTTCATACTGTGCATAGGGTGTTTGTTTTTTAATGTAAGAAGCTGATGGAAAGGAACCACTAAAGTATTCAAATATACACAGTCCTCATTTTGTTAGTCAAATCTGACTTTGGCTGTTTTTAAAGGATAAGAATGAGCAAGCACAGTGGCTATGGAACTACAGTAGCTGCTGCTAATAAAGGCATGAATCACAGAGTTTCTCCAACAGAATGACATTTCCACTGGTAGGAAAGAAAGCAGAGATGTCTGCTGATTTTTCTTTTCTCTCACTGCAGACCCCCACTTTGCCCCCCTCTGTTGTTCCTGGAGGTCTACTGTTTCCTTGAGAACAAAAATTTCTGCAGGCTCAGAGGGCTGCAGCCAGAGAAATAAATAATTTACATAGGGGAGGGGACAGCGTGTTCAAACAGTCAAGTTTTGCATAAGACAGTTTGCATACGCAACACCAGAAATAACCATAATATGCAAGCAAGGTACATTAAATCATGTGCCCATCTACTTTTAAATGTGTTTCTAATTAGGTAACTAACCGGTGAATGCTTCCTAAACTACTGATTTGTCTAACTTTTAACTGATTGCATTTACTCTATATATTGTAAAACCTCAAGAATATCTTTTTGAAGATCTTTAGGAAAACCAAAACTGGTAACTTTTACTGTGTACTGAGTTTATTTATTTATTTATATTTATTTTTCGTATTTATACCCTGCCCTCCCCGATGGGCTCAGGGCGGCTAACAGGGACAAGGTAAAACCTTGCTGTGATGAGACTCCTACTAAGTGAGGAGCTCTTACCACCGTTTCTAGAGGGTGGCTGGTTCTCACCTAATGAGAAAGAACTGGTAATGGTAAAGTGCAAGCTTATGTGTACTCCCTACTTTCTTTCTACCTGGCTCATGCAAGAGAGGAGCTAGGCAGGTTCAGCTGAGAAGTGCAAAGTTTCCACATTATCAGGAGCCATGGAGAACCTGGCATGTTGCTGTGAAGTGTCCAGGCTCAGCAGCTGCATCCTCTGATTCTGAATCCCTCAAAGTCCTTCTGCATACCAGCTGGCTGAAGTTTTAGTTAATCTGCATGGGCTCATCCTCTTGCTTCACAGGTGTCAGCCTTGGCACCGACAACAGATCCCAAGGTGAACCTCTCATGATCTTACTGGTTTAGATTCTCTTTATTGTTTTTGTAGTGTGGAAACTCTCAGCTTCTCTTTCACTCATTAGAAACTATTGGAATAGTATTGTGTATTGTCTCAAGTCATGTTTATGGGAACGAGAAGAGGGAAATGGAGCTCAAGCTTTGATCAGCTAAACACCTGGAATATGTGCTGGTATTTACATATTCTTTTCCCCTGTCCTGTTTGCACTCTTAGCATTATTTGGAGGAAATGTGGATCCAAATTTATCCCTTTAAAATATGATCCTCTATGTTTTTAGTCAGAAGTCAGTCCCGCCAGGTTCAGTGGGGCTTGCTTCCAAGTAAGCATGCATAAAATTGCTGCTTTTGGTTGACAGTGACATAGTTGATAACTTCCAAAACATATTTATGTCTTGATTATAGATTATTCTGGCTCCTAAATTTGGGGGCTGATTCCTTGATCCAAAAAGTCCATTGAGGGCTGGTCTAAAGCCTGTTCTTCCTAGCCCAGAGGGCTAGAAAACTCTGTTCATATTTAAATGAAAGCTGAATCTTTTAGGTATTAAATCTTGTGGTCACCACCAAATTCTGATGCTTTTCTGCACTTGCACAGAATTGCAGAATAACACCCATCCTCTGTAGATGACTAGGCCAAGGATATGTTAGATCTCTGTATAAGGAAGATAACTGCGTATAACCAATGAGAAGCTCCTGAGACCTTCACTTCCAACTGGCAAGATTTCCTGTATCTCTTTGAGCAGTGATGTCTCACCTTCTCCACCTCTTGTTCAGCTGGATCCATATTACTGCCTCTCACCTTTTTCCCCATCTTATTCTCTACTCTGTATCTTCCCAAGTGTGTGCAACTGTTATTATGTTTTCTTGTTGATGAGCTGTGTTGGGGAAGAGGGTGGGTAGTGGGTAGTGTTACAGTGAGTTTGGTATTAAATTTACTATCTTATGATGGGGGGAAATAAAAAAATCTTAAAGAAAAAAGTGGATATATGGCACTTAGTATCCCAAGAATTCAAAGATTTTGTATAATGAAAAAAGGCAGGATATACTTAAGGCTGCAATGGTACATTTTGTAAGTTGAACAGCAATGGTTGGTAAGTGCTCAGAAGCTGCTAGGGGAGGGTGGGTGAGGTCTTATTTCCAGGGTTTCTGGAGATGGGCTTCAATATTTTGCATAGCTCATTACCCTGTTGTATGACTAGTCAAAAGCAGAATAAACACATTTGCATAACTTACAGGAGTCATAGAATTCAGGCTTTCTTGGTCCAGAATGCAAAAATACTGGGTTTTTGTGATACTTGTTGACCTCGCTTTGGGGGAAAAGGTGACACTTGAGAACAAATGTGATCTAAAGCCAAAAAGCCCCTTCTTCAGTCAAGCTGCTGGCCATTCTTCAGTAAACAAAATGTGCAGAGCAGCTCTGACCAGGGCGTTACAAAGGCTTGGTTTACTGGATACACTTTGACCGATGTCACTGCCAAGAGGTTGTCAGTGTGCTTGGTGGTATTCCTGTGGTGGCTTTGTCTCGCCACAAGTCTGGTCCTACTGCTGAGTGGGGATTTGAGGAATGGTTGTGTGTTTGCATTTGCTGGAAGGCAGAAAGTACGCTTGGCACTTGAGTTCCAGAAGCATTCTTAGTGCTGTTCAGGCATATTGTGTGCTACAATTCCAATGTTTTACTTAAATGGCTTCAGTGTTGAGCCAAACAGGAAGAGAGAATTCAAAATGGCTTAAAATGATGTTCTTTGTTGGGAAAACAGTATCAGGAGAAAATGACAGAAAGCTTTTAAGCTGTGCGACCTGGCCATTGGGGGGGGGGGCTCTGTCCTGATTTTGAGTAAGCACAATGATCTGTCTGTTGATGCCATTTGCCTCTTTTCAGTATAAAGTAGAAGAGGCATAGTTTACACATTGACGTATATGATCATGGGAAAATTATTTGCATGCTTTGATGTATCAGAATTACCAGTTACGGAATGTTTGCAGCAGCCTTTTCTTTTTTAAAGTATACATGAAATTGCAGCTTTTTGGAACCTGTAAACTGAAAACCTAGCCACAAATATTTATTCCCCAATTTGCAGTATATGTACAGTAGATAGCTGAAAAGTCTTAGTTTTTCATGGAACTGTTCAAAGTAAAAGGACACTTTCATTTGAGAAAATATTGTTTCATGGCCGGTAGACATGCTATAAATATATAATTACTATTGATTGCTGTCGGTCAGTATTTTGCTGTTGCTCAGCCCCTTTCTAACCTGCATTGACTGAAAGAAGATGCCTATATTAGAGTATTGCTTGACTTGCAAAATTGATCTGCTCTGTACTGCACTCAGCATTGATTCTGTACAAAAAGTAAGTTGTTGTCTTGGTATGTTCATTCAGTGACACTTTAGTAGTCGACCATTTTGCTGCTCACAGTGGCATATGTCATCCTCTTTTGGTACCTTTGAACAATTAAAGCTATGCTAATTTGTGACCACTGCACATGAGAGAAAGCAAAAGTTGATCCTGCTTAAGTAATGTCAAGAAGTTTTAATAGCTTCCCATGAATTGCATGGTATTTTGTAGTGCATTTCTAACCTGGAAACATGCATAAGTTCTTATTCGGAGTATTACTCCTTCCTATTTAAAGTTATTGATAATGTAGAACACATTGAATTAAATATTAGTTTGGTTGTGTATTACATTCATGTTCTATATTTGGGCTGTGCCAAAATACTTCATGGGAAAGACGTATGTTGAGGAAAGATCTGATGAAAATGAGTGTAGTGCTATCACGTATGTGCTTTAGGAGCTGATTCTTGACAGGAGGAGCAGCAAGGGAGAAGCAATGGAATTGTCTGAGCAGGAGACCTTCAGAAATCTAAGGGTGGTGGAACTGGAGAAGCAAAGGTCACAGTAATTTATCTAGATATAGTAGCTGAACTAAAGGAGAGCAAGGTCTTGGAGGGCTGTGAGGACAAGGGTAAGGTTAGGGTTGTGCTGGATCTGGGAAGGGGAGTCATGGTCAGAATAATGAGGCAGGTAGATGATTTTAACAGTACAGTTCTAAAGAAAGATGAAGAGATATGACTGTGTAAGACCAGAGAAAAGTGGCACCAGACTGAAGGGCGGGTGCACAAAGGAGAGAGAAGAATAAAAGCCAAGGTGACATTGCCAGTGGATAGTCAATTTAGATCAGAGCCAATTTCATGTAGTGGTTAAGAGCAGCAGACTCTACTCTGGAGAACCGGTTGCTTGAAGCCAGCTGGGTGACCTTGGGTCAGTCACAGTTCTCTCAGCCCAGAATATAAACCTAGCTTGCCACAAAAAGAACTAGAGTTTCAGGCTCTCCTGGCTATACTACACCCACCGCCATATGATAATTAATTAGTCAGTTTAGAAGGATAAGAAGGCTTTGTGGGGGGTGAAATATGAGACTCTCAATCTTGAATATATTGAATTTCTAGGCAGAAATTTCAGACAGTTGAAAGTCGCAGGATTGAATAGAGAAAGTTCAGCTGGGTATCATCAACATATAGGTAATACTGAATGCAGTTGGTTATGGTGAGAGCATCATAAAATGTGTTGAGAGAACAGAGAAGAAAGCTCAAAGACAGATTCATAGGTACCCAATGGAGAGAGGAAAGTAAAAGAGCTTCACCCTTGCGAAACACTGGATCGAACAGGTAGGGATATGAAGGTCATGTGGTGTCTTGGGAAACGGAGGCAAATTAGAGGTAAAGGCATAAACTGCAGTGTCTAATTAATGACAAGAGGAAGAAGGAACAGGACAATGTTGTAAAAAAGCCATTGGATCTGTAGATTGCAGGTCACCAAAGGAGGAAGGAGTTGAACACAAGGAAAGTGGAAGCTGGGCAGTGCTCAAAGAATTGAAGTGATAGCGAAACCGAGGGTAGTCCACAGCAGAGAGGTGAGGACAGAGCAGCTTATGGTAAAGAAACAATCAGAAGAGAGTGGGAGGCAGTGTGTGGGTATTGTGTCATCTTATTCTAGGTTGTGCTGGCCAGAAAGAGACCTAGGGGAGAGGGGGAGCTGTGTCTCAAGATGGGGTACACCAAAGTAACTTCCATTTTTGTACGTTATCACTTTTGTAGTACATATGGATTTGAACCCATAATTTAAACTGCAGTCTTAAAATTCAATTTATTTTAAAACTGCATGTATTAGTGATACCGAAATATTTCTTCACACAGTATATTGTGTTTTGGAAACTGCTGCAATAAACTGCATTTCCGCCTTCAAACAGTTAATAATTAGGCCTTTTAATCAGGCAATCTGGTGGAGTTGCTTATGTGATCCTTGATAGAGCTTGGTGGTGAAGCTGTGTATATTTAAACTATGTTCTGTTGGATTTTACAGTAATACCCAGTGGCCAGTCACACTATAGTATATAACTGTATGGAAACACAAAAAATCTAAAGGGTCAGTGAACTGAAAATTCTTACATGTTTCTTCAACAGAGATGCCCTAGTTAAGAATCATTTTGCTTAATGAGCTAGGTGGAAGCTGCTGCTTCCTAATGGATATTCCTGCACAGCCAAAGGAGATGTCTCCTGCGTTCTTTTGATGTCCCTCCTGCTTGAATTAGGTGGAGGAAAGTCAGGATTGTCTTCTTGTTCTGGGGAAGAAGTAAATGGGAGACTCATTGATGGACACTATTTATTTATTTATTTATTTTAAAACATTTTAATGTATGTCTTTCTCCTGAGCAACTCAGGGCCCATGGGTACAACACGAGGATCACTGCACTAAAATATTTGAGTGATTTTTAAAAATTGGAACTAAATCTTGCCCGTTTACAGATAAGTAGAAATTTCCTGTGACCTAGCAGCACTTGGGCATGTTATTGCCTTTTGGTCAGGGCAAGACTGCTGCTGCATTTGTCCTTTCATGGATGGGGGGACCCAGCACCATGTTCTGGTTTGAAGGAGGAGGCCCAGAGTAATAGTTAGTGGCTCAGCAGGTAGGAGGCTAGCAGACTGCAGGGCTAGCAAGTATTCATCAGCTATTTAGGCTGGTCTGGGATGAATGCTAACAAATTAATGTCATTTTAAATTTATTGTTTTGCCTTCAAAAACGTCTAGACAAATCTTAACTTTCTCTTCCCTTTTTGTTTTTCTCCTCTTCATCCATGTTACTTCAGGCAAGAAGACAACAAGACCCTAGTCCCGGATCAAACCTAGGAAGTGGTGATGATCTGAAACTACGTTAAAAGAAGTGACCAATGAGCAACACATGCTTTTTAATCTGGGCAAATGATCAAATTAAATGACCAGAAACTGTGATAACTGGGTATATACGATAGTCTATTCCCTGACCTGCGGCAGCCAAACTATCATGTACTGCCATGGTTTGCACTATGTTTGTGTTACAATACCTGCATTTCTGTTCTTTAAGCCTGTCGCCAGTGCAAATTTGAGATTCTTGTTTTTCTATGCAAGCTTATAATTTTGTTGGCACTATTTTAGTGAAGTCAGAACTTTATGCAGCTATAAAAACGATTCCTTAACTGTAATATTCATTTCAGAATAGGTCAAAACATTGCAGAATAAAGGTTTTTGTGAATTTACTATAAGCCAAAACTTTCTAAACTAATTTTTATATGGGCTTTTGGAAGTTTGGTTGCCATTTTGTGTCCTTTGTACTTTTGTCGGGGTGTGTGAGTGATTTTTTTTCCTCTCGAAAATTTGCAACACATTTTACCCTAGTAACACAATGTTGTTGATTTAATGAATTATGTGTTTATAATTTTCAAAATGGTAAAATCCCTTGATAAATTGCATTTCAGTTATGTTTTATATGGCAAAAAATGTCAAAGCAGTAGTAGTTTACATTTTTAATGTATGCTCTTGTACATATAACCGACTGAAACCTTTGCAGTCTGGCTTTCTTTTTATTCAGGGACTTCTTAAAAATAGATCTAAAACGGGATATTGCAACTTTCGTGATTAGGCTGATGCTAAAAGTGATTTATGTTTAATACGAACATGTTGAAAATAGCTGCTGTAGGTGTACGATGTCCTTATTCTAACTAAAGCAAAAGTATGAATTGAGGAATTTGAATTGTATGGAAAAAAAACATACTGGCCAAAAAAGATCTTTATGTTTTGTTACTATTGCTACTTTATTACATAATAATTTCCATCAGGGTAAGATTTGGGGACAACTGATTAATGTAGCTTACTGCCAAGTTGAACTGCTCGCTTTTTCCTTTCTCAAACTGTTTTGTCCCACAGATCATTTCAGCACATGAATATCAATTTTATAAATGATTATTTCCAAGCACTTGAATGCAACATTCTTTTCTTGTGTGTTTGTTAGAATGACCAGGACACCTTGTTCCTCACTGATGGTGACAATTGAAGCAGTTACAAATTCTTTTAAAGTTCAAGGTAGCTAAAGAAAAAAAGGGATTGGATTCCTGCACAAAATCTTCTCTGTAGTCATCAGGTGACACTGTGGGATGCCTTGTTTTCTGTCCGAGGTCATTTAATTAATTTTAATGGTCTTTTCATGCATGTTTTTTCTTCTCCTTCATCTCAGAAACAGTGGTCCAAAATGTTAGATTATCTGATCTGTTCAGACCTAGGATACACACCTACTTTATTATACACAGTAGCCTTCCTCATTTTTTTCCAGCTTGTGGTTTCAAACAACTATAATACACAAATTATATTATTTCATATTAATTTTGCTGTCTTTCTGTAAATACCTAACACCCCCCATCCTTGTCTAGAACTCTGCTACACATTGCATCTTAATGCTGGCATTAAGATCACAAACCCCTGGCCCTCTGCTAGCTAGTCTTTAAGTTATTGATGCAATTGTGATATTTTTTCATAATTTCTATTTAAGTAGAAGTTGCATCATCCTTCTTGAACTCATCTCTGAAGAGTTGCCTTAAGCTTCAAGATTGCTTTTGCTGTCTTTTTGTGTTATGTTAACCATAATGTTCATAATAAACTTCTGTGTAGTGAAAACAAGTGGCTGTAAATTCCTTTATGATACTTGCTATTACTGTAACATGTCACCCTTATATGTTCAGGTATGATGAATAATCTGTTAAAGATTCCAATGAAATGACATTACTTTTGATGTTCCAGGATTCTCTCCTAATACTAGCTAGTGCCATAAGATTTGTAAATATGTGTGTTGTTGTTTGCTCTATCCCAAAGCCACAGGGCAGGTTACAGTATGAAGCCAAAGCCCACAAGGATAGAAGTAATCAAAAAGTTACCAGCACTAACATCCTTGAGCTCATTCTCATCCCCCTCCCCAAAGTACAGTACTCTAATAATCTGTTTCCCCTCAATACAGTGAATGGATTGTTTGAATAGTTCAAAAGTGTCATCAGATGCACTGTACCTCAGCATTGGTATTTCAAATTCTTACAACAGAAAAAGATATACTTTTGTATCTTCACACTGTAATAAATGGGAGATCTGCTCCCAAAGTGACACATTCTTGAAGCAAATCATGTCTATTCAGCCTAACATACTTCATAGGGTTGTTGTGAGAATAAAATTGAGAAGGGAATAATGGCCACTTTGGGATCCCACTGTGGAGAAAGATGGGGTATAAGCAACATATTTAAACGAAGTTAGTTAACGTCAGAATTTATCAAGTTCCCGCCATACCATTTGGTAAATCAGGGAACATTCTTTAGCTTGTACTGCAGTAAGAAACACATTTTGGCCAGTTTCCTCAAAGGATCATCCCAGGAAAAGAAACCTACTTGTAGGAAGACAATTAATGCCATATAACCTCAATGACAATAAAACACCTCTCAGAATATTTACATTGTCTGTAGTGTACACTTTTAATCTCTGCTGTTCATGTTAATCGTGTGCAGCTCAGTGTATTAACTTCAGTTTGTTTCATCTCTACAGTAATACTTATCTTCCTTATTATGGAGGATGGTTGTTCTATGTAAAAATATTATCTGTGCTTTCTAACATGTTAAAGAAGAGTATTTTCATTTTTAGCCCGGAAATCTTCCATTTGGCTAAGAGTTCAATTAGAATAAAAACTACAGTCACACTTTTAGCACTGCTTCAGTGACCACTTTCAGTAACTCAGTCCAATTCTGTTGCTCTAGTACCAGCAAAAATGGGGGGGTGGGGTTTTGCCATTGTTTCTGGGTGGAAGAAACAACTGTTAGACCAACTTATTTTGAATGAGTAGATGGGCTAATTATTTTCTGCTTGTTTCTGTGGAGAATCTATCTTTTGGACATTTAAACTACCTTTCACACTAATGTTTAATTTTCAAGCGGGAAGCAATCAGATACTTTAGCATAAGTAAGATCCGCTCTAGTAAGCTTAGTAGTGCCATCCTAAGCAGAGCTACACCATTCTACACCTGTGGATTTAAAGCTGTAACTCTGCTTAGGATGGTGCATACTGAATAAATATAGTAAGTATATACGTAACTATATAAACTGGATTGTGAAATGTTCTGTAGGTTGAAACTTGTAACACTTTAGAGTTCTGGGATCTACATTGTTTATAAGAATTTGTGGTTCCAATTCAGTATTGATGGTATTCGCAGAACTAGGTCCTGATGGTATGCAGCCAGGCACTTTTGCAAAGAGTTGATTACCCCAGATGTCCCACATGCAAGCAATAATAGCAATTATTTAGCATTTCTATACACTTCTGAGTGCATCATTGATCCCAACAAACCCAATATGGGTAACTTGGAGTTATTCTATGTTGCAGTATTAGGGACCGAGACAGAGAGATCAGCCTGACTGAGGCCAATGGATGAGTTTGTGGATGTGAAAGGGTGATTTTCTTACATCTTACTCAGAACCACTAGTTCAAATAAAACAGCTGTCGTCTGTTGTGCCTTTAGTGTGTGTGCCAGAGGGTATGCATGTTCAGCTGAAGCTTTTCTCATTTGTGTTGTATAGCTACGTCCCATAACTGAAGAGAACCTACTTTTAGATGGTGGTCTGGGGGGGAAGTATAGAGCACAAATACAGCTGCATGTAACAGCATATCCATTGAAGACTTGCCATGTTTTGCACATCAACCATAACTTTGCAGGCTACAGTTATTAAATAGTCACTGAAAATCTGAGTTTGGGAGGCTAGTTTTTAAATGGTGTCTCTCTCAGAATGTAAGGAATTTCACCCCAAAGTGTGTTGCTGTGTACCTCATGAATTATTTCAGCCCCTCATACTGCCCCTGAGAACATACATTCTTTTCCTTTCATGCAGTATTCCTCTGGGAAACTTGTGAAGCTGATCAGACAATGAAAACAGGTGAAATGGATTTAAAGAAACAGGTGTGAGCATATTTAGCCACTTTCCACAAAAGCCTTTTGAAATAAGCTTTTCATATAGATGGCAACGTGCAAGTGAGACATCTGCACTCAAGGCTAGCCTTGCTTCCTTTTCTATGGGTAGAAATTTTTCACATCACCTGTTACCAGATTCTTTTCACTGGACCTGCTAGAGATTGAACCTGGGACCTGCATGCAAAGCAGACGCTCTAACAAGCAGATGCTCTGCCACTGAGACATGGCTGTACTTTGGAATGGATCCAGCAAAACAGGTTGTCAGCCCATAGTATCAAAAAAGCACTAATTTAACTTTTGCTTCAGCAGCTTGGTAAAAATGTCTAGTCCATTTAACAGATGTTTAATGGGACGTTATTTGTGTGTAAAGTGCTGTCAAGTCGCAGTTGATTTATGGCAACTCTGTAGGGTAGGGTTTTTAAGGCGAGAGACTCAACAGAAGTGGTTTGCCATTGCCTTCCTTCGTGTAGGGACCTGGACTTCCTTGGTGGTCTCCCATCCAAAGACTAACCAAGGACAAGCTTCGAAGATCTGACCAGATCAGGCTAGCCTGAGCCATCCAGGTCTGGGGTAGGGATGTTATTTAGCAGATGCTTTTCATGGCATGGAAACAAGATAACTTCAGCTGCTCATTGTATTAAAAAGATGGGACCTTTCCCCCAGGCCTGTTTACCCTTGGTATAGCTGATACGTTGCATACGGACAGGCTGAGGCTGAGTGCCAGGGGGGAGAAAGGGGAAAGAAAACCTTGTGCTTTTGTCCTTTTGAAAAAGATTCCTGGCTGCCCAGAACTTGGCCTGGTGCGAGGGCTGTGCTTGTTCACTGCTCTCATGCTGTCTTAATGTTTGTAGCCTTGTAGTCCTCTAGTCTTACTATTATTAAAGTATCACCCTCCTCTTCTATGGAAAATACTTCACAAAACTTTTCCCATGCTAATGAAAGCTGCATTTGATAAATTGTTTTGGCTGATAGCGTGCTAAAGATTAATTCTCCCCCCCCCTTTAATACCACGATGTCACAGCATTCATTGGTTTGCAAAGCACATGACTTCCTTCAAGCAGGGTGGGATGTTTGGGGTGGTGGTGTTTTCTTTGCCTCAGGAAAATGGATCTGATCTTTCTTAGAATGGAGACCTGGCCACACAAACACGCTACTGTGCTTAACAGAAGCAGAATCTAGAT